CAGTAGTGGGAGACGAAGGAGGAGGAGGAGCAAAGGGAGGAAGGCACACCGAGCACCCCCATACCCGCCACCCCACAGCTCGCAAGCGGCCCCCTCAGGTCGCCTCGACGGACGACGGGAAATGGCAGGGGGAGGGGGGGGGGGGGGGGGGGGGAGGCGGTGTGGTGAAAGGGGCCCACCACGGGCCTGGTTGGAGGGTGGGGCCGCGACAAGGGGCGGGGCCGCGACGAGGGGCGGGGCCGCGACGGTCGGGCAGGGCCGCTTCGAGGATTTAGGGCCGCGACACAGGGCGGGGCCGCGACGTAGGGCGGGGCCGCGACGGTCGGGGCGGGGCCGCGACGTAGGGCAGGGCCGCTTCGAGGGGCGGGGCCGCGACGCAGGGCGGGGCCGCGACGTAGGGCGGACGCCCGCAAAGGTAGGGCAGACGCCCGCCGCGCGCCTCGGGGCGCACAGCGGGCAAAGAACCGCCGCGCGCCCCGGGGCGCACGGCGGGCAGAAAACCGCCGCGCGCCTCGGGGCGCACGGCGGGAAGGAAAACCGCCGCGCGCCTCGGTGCGCACGGCGGGAAGGAAAGGTAGCAGCGGAAGCGAGGTGGAAACCCACCCACAGGATCGATCCAAGGGGATCGACCTGCTCTGATAGCATGACAAAATTAGAAGAAAGAAAGAGGATTGAACTAGCAAGAATGAGGATACAAATAGCAAACCCTAGAAGGGTTGTACTCGCTATAGAGCACCCCACTACAGGCTAGAACAATAAGATAATATTCTGACAGCAATGTCGCTCGTAGTCGCGTAGTTGTCGCCTTGGCCCTCCATTTGGTGATTTACAGGAAGATACGCGACGAAAATAATCGAATTCTAGGTGCTGGTCGACTTACTGCGAGTCAAATTGACTGTAGAATCGACGAGCGCGAATTCTGTAGGTTGCGTAAATCTCCCTTAGGCGAAATTCGCGTCCGATCTCGGCCGTTGAGGAGAAAATCGATCCGACGCTCCAAATTCCAACTTTTTTGGGCGAAATTCTCTGGGCCGTTGAGATGAAACTCGATCGAACGGTCGAAACTCCAACCTTTCCACCAGTAAATCTGAGGGGTGTTCGAAAACCGAATCGAGGAGGACTTACAAAAATTGCGCGGAACTGGTTTTACATACCCGTATCGGCGCTTTCATCGTCGCCCCCGCGGTTTTTAAAGGCCGGAACTAAGCGGTTGAAGACCTCGCGTGTAAACCCGCTCTGATTACCAAGTGTGAGGATCTGGGATCGAGCTCAGAAAAGATGATTCAAATTGAATTGAATTGAATTGAATGTCCACCTGGGTACAACACGAGGCTATATATAGGCTCGACACAAGGCCCCGTAACCAGGTGTTACGCGAAGGTCCCGCGGGTCGCGAAGCGTCCAGAACAGATCCTTACCGAATTCGGTAGAAGGCAATTCGGTGGCAACCGAAAAGCCAGAATTCGGTGCACGCAACCTAGGTCGGTGCTATAACTATAATAAAATATAGGAAAGCACCTAGCCTAGGAAATCAAGCAATTCATGCATGCATATGATTATCCTATGCTAGAAATAGCATGATAAAGTAGAGGCAAGCAAGCATAGCTGGCATAAGCCGTCGTACTCTCACAAGAATCTTTGGACTCATTTTGACTAGTAGAGTGACTTGCTATATTTGCTATGGCTGCCTTACCCTTTTCAGATAGTAGCTGAGGAGGGGGGACCCGATTAGGAGGCTTCTTAGGACAAGCATACCACGGATGACCCCACTCATGACAACAAAAACACTCAAAAATATATTTTTTTAGCATTCGAGGCTTGGCTGAAATTATTGACTCTTGGCGGATTAACTCTTGCATTCCTAGGCTGATATTGATTGGGAATAGAAGGCCTTGGCTGGACATAGGGACTTGACTTATAGGGAGGACTTGACTGAGCAAAACGAGAGGGTTTGTATGGGTTGGAAGGTGACTGAAAATTCGTACCATAGTATGGTTGAGGGCGGTTTGGGCTGAACTTTCCTTGCCTCTGGGATTGGTTGCCATATCTTGTAGCTGCTGCAGCACTCTATGCACCTTCGTCACTCCGCTTGTTCCGTGCAAGGTCTCGACTCTGCTGCTCGTTGACAAGGGCCTCAAAGATGAACGCACTACTCTTCATTGACTGCGGGAGCGCTTGTAGTGTTGCACGGAAAGTGTCCCACTCCGGTGTAAGGCCGGTGAGGATGACGGTCTTGAAAAGAGACTCTGGAATCTCCAAGCCGATCGCTGCTGCTTCCTCCAACATTGCTTCAGCTCGTTGTAGGTAGGCTTGTGCTGATTCATATTTTTCCATCTTCAGATTCATGAAGCGACTCCACATCTCGGCTTGGCTGCTCTCGGATTTTGACTGGTGCATAGTCTTCAATCGGCTCCATGCTTCATTTGCACTGTTTGCCTTGGTAGAACAGGGCAGGAGCGACTTCAACTGCTGCTCGTGAATGCTATTGAGTAGGTAGAGGAAGGCCTCCTTGTTGCGTCGTTCGTAAAGTCGTTTTTCAGCTTCTGAAGCATCTGCTGCTGGTTTGGCTGCTTCTCCAGTGTAGTAAGGCCACAGATCCAGAAGGGATGCAGTGAGCTCAAATTGAGTTGCCCATGTTGGAAAATCTTTGCCGTTGAACTTGGGGAGGTGAAGCTTAGGCATGAAGGAGGTGAGTGGTGAGTATGTTGTTGAAGGACTGCCTGGTGCAACTGCTTCCACTAATCCAGTAGCTGCTGATGTTGACTCTGAAGCTCCTCCGGCTGGCTGGAGTGCAGGACCAGATGGATTGTCTCCCGCCATGTTCGTATGGTGCTAGGATAGGAACGTGGTGGGCTAGGTTGATCGAAACGATGAGCTATGATACCAACTTGTACATCCAAAAGTTCCTTGAGAGGTTTGGTCTTGATGATAGCAAGCCATCACCTACCCCGCTTCCTTCCAACTTTGTCCCTCTGTCATCACTTCAGCCCTATGAAGAGAGGGAATCAAGCCTTGACATCACGGGTATTGAGGAGTTGTGTCTTGAGGAGAGTGAGCATCATGGTGAAAATTCACCCAAGGTATCCCCACAAGACCTAGCTCTCTACCAAAGTCAGGTTAGGTGTCTCATGTATGCAGCCCTATGCACAAGGCCCGACCTAGCATTCACGGTATCCAAGCTAGCTCAACACATGAGTGCCCCATCACCTACCCATATGCATGCACCCAAGCGAGCTCTTCGGTATCTCAAAGGTACTTCTAATCTTGGTCTTCTCTTCCAAGCCAGCCCACATGCAAGCTCCCTCCAAGGCTTCACCGATGCAGATTGGGCGGGAGAATTGAGCACACGCAAGTCCACCGGCGGCTACATCTTCCTCATGTGCGGTGCCGCTGTTTCTTGGCAATCACGCAAGCAAAGTTGTGTGGCGCTTTCTACAACCGAAGCCGAGTACATAGCAATGACCGAAGGAGCAAGGGAGGCAATCTGGTTACGTGGACTCTTGGAGGACTTGAGGCAGCCGGAAACTCAACCGACTCCGCTCTACGTGGACAACACTTTAGCCATCGCTCTTTCCAAGAACCCGGTTCATCATGGGCGTACAAAACACATCGAGGTGCAATACCATTTCATCCGTGAGCAACTAGAGAAGGGAGTTCTTGCCGTCAACTTTTGCCGTTCATTCGACCAAGCAGCAGATTTCATGACTAAGGTTCTTCCACATGATGCATTCAACATGTGCAAGGCAAGAGCAGGTCTCATGACACTCCATGAAGCAGTGCAGCAATTTGAGGAGAATGAGGGGTATGAGGAGAAGTAATATGGGCAGCAGCATGGAGTGTATGCCAAGGAGATGTAAGAGGAGAATAAGAATGGGCGTATGTGTGCTTCGGGTCTGGTGCGAGGGGGAGTGTTGGAGAATCAAGTTTCTGCCGCCCCAGCCCTTTGCACACAAGGAGCAGCAAGGTGGGAATGTCGGCGACGGATTGAAGGCTTCGCAAACAAATCAGAAAGTTTCTCAACCAATCAGATTGGAGCCGAATTCTCGATACAGTTCGGAATTGTTTTCAAGAAGAAGTGTCAACAGTTTCTACAGGTTTCTACCAAACAAAATCAGCTATGACAGAGAATTCCAGAGCTTTCTTATTCATGCACCTCATGTGGCTCTCAAGTCACTCAAGGTTCATGGAATCTGAATTGTGCCTAAGTTATCCAGGAAGTTGCCTTGTCTAGCAGCCTAGTTTGAGCTATCAATCTGCATGATTGTCTAGCAGCCTAGTTTGAGCCTAGTTCGTTTCTGATGAGATCACCGAATACGTCCGACAGCAGGCACCAGGGAGCATGTACAGTGCGGCATCCCCAAGACACACTCGTGCATCCCTCTCCCCATCCATTCTCTGCTTGCCCCCATTTTACCCTCTGCAATTTCGCACAGCACTTGTCAATTCAAGGAATTTACTTGCGAGCAGCGTTGCTCTGCTCCGCTCTTCACGGCGTCAGCTGGGCATTGCGTCGGTGTACGCATACCCTCTTTTTGCCCGATGTCTCTATTTCCTTCGCTTGCGGTGCGGACTCATTACATGAGCTCGTGCTTTCAGAATTAGCAAATGCACCTCGTTTTTCGTTATTGTGCGGGTGGTGAAGTAATTTGGCGGAACTAGCTGAAAAGCAGAACCGGCGCCGGCGACAACGGAAACAGCGGCTCACGGGATTTCGAACGCCGGGTCTCCTTCACAAAACGCGGCGCTCTCAGCGCGCCGAGCACTACGCCGCGTCAGAAGGAGATGCGCGCTGCGAGTGGAACGTGTGCCTCAGCCCCTCGAGCGTGATTCTTGGGCTCGATTAACGACGTTCGACTCTTTGACGCCCATCTGCCGCAAGAGAACACGTAGGCTACAGACAGCTGTAGCAGTAAAAAAATAACTAATAGCATCTAGGATATTGTAGGCGTGCTGTAGTGTAGATGCTAAGGGGAGAAAAGTGTAGTTACGCTGGCTGGTAGATGATGGATAGCCGTGAGAGAGAAGCGGGAGGCTTCACAGGCGTGGATGCCACGTCTTCCGCGCCTCGCGGCGAATCTCACGGCGCGTCTCACGGCGGGTCTCGCGGCAGCGATTCGAAGAAATCGAGGAGCGAGTCCAGTGGCGGCAAGGGGCGGAAGGTTCAGAAGCACAAGAAGCAGCGCGATGTTCTGAAAGACGCCCAAGAAGCACAGGAGCGACTCAGGCGACTCGCGGCGTCTGGCGGGGGATCTCTGGCCGCCACTGGATGGGGCGACGAGGGGGTTGATGGCGCAGCCGGAGGGCAGGGGGACTTGCAAGGGGGAATGCAGGGGGAAGGGCAGGGATTGGCTGTGAGTGAGTTTGTTCCTGTAACGAGTTTTGGTGCTGTAACGGGGAGGGGAGGGTTGGGAAGGGAGGGTGGAATGGTTGGGGTGGATGCTGGTTGGGGTTGTCAGGCGGGTGAGTCGTCTGGTGGACCAGGGTTCGGAGCGGTGGAGATGGGTGCGGAAGTGTACGGAGAGCAGGAAAGTGGTCAGTTTGAGGGTTACGGTGCTAGGCAGGGGGGGGAGGCTCAGAGGCTGTTTTGGGAAAAAGCGCAGGGATACTTTGGGGGGGGGGAGCAGGGGCAGACTTGGGGGGAGGCGCAGGGGCATGGGGGGGCAGGGGAAGAGCGCGACTGGGGCAGTCAAGGGGAAAGTAACTGGGGGAGGGGGGGGGATGGCTATCCGGGCGGAGAGGAAGGGTCTGCTTGGGGCGGAAGTGTGGAAGGTCGCAACTGGGGCGGGGGGGAGGGGGAAGCGGAAGGGAGTGGGCGGAGAGGGGGATGGGGAGGGGGATGGGAAAAGGGATGGGGCAGAGGCAAGGGGTGGCGGAGAGGAGGACGGGGAAGGTGGGGAAACGGTTGGGGGAGGGGACGGGGGCAAGAGGGGGAGTATGGGGGAGGAGGGGGTTATGGGGTAGGAGAGTACGGGGGAGGAGGAGGGTACGGGGGAGGAGGAGGGTACGGGGGAGGAGGAGGGTACGGGGGAGGAGGAGGGTACGGGGGAGGAGGGGGGTATGGTGGGGGAGGGGGGTACGGTGGGGGAGGGGGGTATGGTGGGGGAGGGGGGTATGGTGGGGGAGGGGGGTATGAGAGGGGAAGAGGGTATGGGGGTGGGAGGAGGTATGGAGGCGGGGGGCGGTATGGGGGCGGAGGGGGTTTTGAGGGCGAAGGGGAGTATGGGGGCGGAGGGGGGTATGGGGGAGAAGAATATGAGGAAGGGGGATTCACTACGGAGAGTGGGGAGCAGCAGGGGTGGCAGGGGCAAGGGGGGACAATGCAAGAGGAAGTGCAGGGGCAATACAATAGGCGGTGGGAAGGGCAGGGGCAATACAATAGGCGGTGGGAAGGGCAGGGGCAATACAATAGGCGGTGGGAAGTGCAGGACGGGGGAGCAGAGAACTGGGGAGGAGCACGAGATATGGGAGGAAGGAGGGGATGGGTAGAAGGGCAGCAGCAGCAGCAATATTGGGGGGGACAGAGACAAGGGAACGACTGGGGGGAGGGGCAGCAGTGGGGGAGGGGGGAGAAGGGAAAGTTTGAGAGTGGGGGAGAGAAACAGGGATGGGGAGGTGAGGAGCAGAGGGGAGGGTGTGATGAGGAGGCATGGGAGGTGCAGGGGGAGAGTGGGGGGGAGTGGCAGTGGCAGAAACAGCAGAGTGATTCTTCCACGCCTTATGCCGAGCCTGACGCCTCTGGTTCGGGCCGCTACGAGCCTGGCACGTTTGGTTCGGATCGTTCCGAGCCTGCCCTGGGCAGTGGTCCAGCTGGCGCCAGCTGTCGCGACAGCGTTGGTGCCCTTTCTACCACGGCGGCAGCAGAGGAAGCAGCTGGGAAGGTTCCGGTGTATGATGGGTGGGGGGATATAGTGGGGTGGAGGGATGCTGATGATGATGGGACCACTGCACCTCGGCCTGCTTCTGCTGCTGCTGCTGCTGCCGCTGCCGCTGTAACCCCATCTGCTGTCACACCTGGCACTGTCACACCTGCTTCTGTAACACCTCTTACTGTCACACCTGCTATCATTACTCCTGCTACCATCACGCCTAATACCATGACACCTGCTCCTGCCGCACCTGCTTCTGCATCTGCTGCCACCGCTGATGCTTCCCCTGCTGCTGGCGACGGTCGTGCTGAAGGCACCACGCCCAGCAGCAGCAGCAACAACAAGGGCAACAGCAGTAGCTGCAGTGGGGGCAGTGCTGTGCCGGCAGGCAGGAGGGGGTGGCAGGTGTATGAGCCGCCAATGCAGCGGGACAGTAGGGAGAGAGAGAAGGAGAAGGAGAGGGAGGAGCGAGAGAGGAGGCAGTGGGAGAGGGATGAGAGGGAGAGGCAGAGAGAGCAGGAAGAGAAGGATGGGAGGCAGAGAGAGCAGGAAGAGAAGGATGGGAGGCAGAGAGAGCAGGAAGAGAAGGATGGGAGGCAGAGAGAGCAGGAAGAGAAGGATGGGAGGCAGAGAGAGCAGGAAGAGAAGGATGGGAGGCAGAGAGAGCAGGAAGAGAAGGATGGGAGGCAGAGGCAGAAAGAATTGGAGGAGAGGGCCGAAGGGGAGAACCGGGAAAAGGAGGTAGTGGGTGCAGCGAGTGTGGGTGGTGCAGCAAGTGTGAGTGGTGCAGCAAGTGTGGGTGGTGCAGCAAGTGTGAGTGGTGCAGCAAGTGTGGGTGGTGCAGCAAGTGTGAGTGGTGCAGCAAGTGTGAGTGGTGAAGCAAGTGTGAGTGGTGAAGCAAGTGTGAGTGGTGCAGCAAGTGTGAGTGGTGCAGCAAGTGTAACATTACAGGGCGCCTGGAGTAAAGGGCCTCCCATAAGCTCTGCTCCTGCTGCTGCAAATGCTGCCCGTGCTGTTGCTACTCCTGCTGTTGCTGATGCTTCTCCTTCTGATTTTTCTCCTGCTGCTTCCTTTGCTGCTAACCCAGCTCCTGCTGCTGCTAATGCCGCTGCTACAGCTGCTGCTCCTGCTCCTGCACCTGCACCTGCACCTGCTCCTGCTCCTGCTCCTGCTCCTGCTCCTGCTCCTGCTCCTGCTCCTGCTCCTGCTCCTGCTCCTGCTCCTGCTCCTGTTCCTACTGCTGCTAGTGCTGGCGCTACAGCAGCCGCCCCTGTTCCTGTTGACGCCGCAGCTACATCAACAGCTGCTACAACCTTCCCGCCGTCTGTTCCCAGTCCCCTTGATAGCTCCTCCAGCCAATGGCCATCTGCCACGTCACATCCAGCAGGAAGAGGAGCAGAGGGCGGATGGGGGAGGGGAAGGGGTAGGTGGAAAGGGAGAGGGTGGGGGAGGGGGAGGTGGGGAAGGGGATGGGGACGGGCAGGCAGTGATTTCAGAGGCCAGTGGATTAGTGAAGGTCACAGAGGTAGTGACGGCTGGAGAGAGAGTGAGGAAGGGAGCACTGGCAGTGGTGGTGGGTGGAGTGAGGGTGGTGAAGCATGGGGAGGAGGGGGACTGTTTGATTCAGGAGCAATACCTTGCTCATCACCACAGCAATACCTTGCAGCAACAGCATCACTAACCTTCTCTGCCACGCCACCGCCTTACCTCCCCTCATCCGCGTCCCCTCACCTGCCCCAGCTGCCCCAGCAGCAGCAGCAGCAGCTGCGTGTGTGTGCCTTGAAGCCTGCGCGCAAGGCGCAGCGCACAGAGGAGTGTTTGAAGACGTGTTTTGAGACGTCTCAAAACACTCCTTCGCGCAAGGCGCAGCGCACAGAGGAGTGGGTGCGAGAGGCTGCTGCTGCTGCTGCTGCAGGTGGTGATGGTGCTGGGGGCTTGGGCGGTTGCAGTGCTGCTGCGGATACACTTGATGCTCCTGCTGTGGCTGCTGCTTCTGCTGCTGGCAATGTTGGCAACGCAGCAGGGGAAGCAGCTCTAGAGGACTCCGAAGCTGCAGGTCCTGCTGCAGCAGCTGCTGCCTGTGCGACAGAGACAGGTGGGAGCGTGGAAATAAAGGATGGGGTTGCAGAGGGGATTGCAGTTGATTCAGCAGCAGATTCCCGGGAGACCACAGTTTTTTGGGTGGGAGTTGTCAAGGATGGTAGTGTTTGTGAGGGAGCAGGGAGCGAGTGTGGAGACGCAGAGGGAGTGACAGATGGAGGCAGAAAGCAAGGCCTGCGTGGCACAGAGGAGGGAGAGGAGGAGGGAGGAGTGGAACGATGGGAGAAGAGGGAAGAAGAGGGTGCGGAGGAGGGAGAGGGGGAGAGAGAGGAAGAGGCAGGGGAAGAGAGACAGGAGGCGGGAGTAGAGGAGGGAGGAGATGAGGGAGGAGAGGAGGGAGGAGAGGTGGGAGGGGAGGAGGGAGGGGAGGAGGGAGGGCAGGAGGGAGGGGAGGAGGGGTTGGGCAGTGGCACATACGCTGACCTGCCATCAAACACGTGTTCTTTCTCGGATGGCGGCGAGGGCTTTGACTCGGATGTGGACAGTGAGGAGGAGATGGAGTCCTTGTTTCTTGACAGCACACTGGCGGATGACTGGCCGCTCTATGGCGTGGGCATGCAGGGCATGGCGAGCATGGTCGGCCGTGCAGCAGCAGCAGGGGGAGGAGGAGGGACATCCGCTCAGGTACTTTGGCTTTCTGTGCTTTGGCTTGCTTGCTGTGAGTGCTCTCACTCCTACTCCTACTCCTATTGACATATACTTAGTCGTACAGTCCCATCTCACGGACCCTCTCCTCCATGCTCCCCTCTTCCTTCCTTCTCCGCTTCCCCCTCCGCCCTTTCCCCTCCCCCCTCCCCATCGCACCTTCCTCCAGCTACCCAAGCCCGTTCATTGCTTCCCCATCGCACCTTCCTCCAGCTACCCAAGCCCGTTCGTTGCTTCCTCATCGCACCTTCCTCCAGTACTTTGACAGCCTCTCGCCATTCAAGTCAAAAGACGACTTTTGAGGCGCCTCAGAAGTTTCCTCCAGCTACCCAAGCCTGTTCATTGCTTCGTGGCGCAACAGCAGCAACAGACAGCAACAACGTCTACTGGTGCAAAGGGTGGCACCAGCAGCAGCAGAGGCAGAGGCAGCTCTAGTGCCCCGTGCCAAGTTCCCTGTTCACCCCTCCACGCTCCGCCCGCCCTCCTATCTCCCCCATTCCCCCTTTCCCTCCAGCTACCCGAGCCCGTTCGCCGATTCCTTCAGGACTTTGACAACCTCTCGCCTTCTGATTGGCGCAACAGCAGCAGCAACTACCGGCGCAAAGGCTGGCAGAAGCACCAGCACAGTTTGAGGCAGTTCAAGTGCCCGGTGTGTGTGGGCGGCAAGGGCGAGACGGAGTGGTGGGACGGCGTGCGGGCGCTACTGCAGCACTCGCTGAGCATCCGGAGTCGGAGGATGAAGGAGCACCGCGCGTTTGCTGCCGCTCTCGGGGAGAGGATGAAGGACAAGGGCGCGGGGCTGGTGCTGCTTGGCGGGGGAGCGGTTGGAGGGGATGCGGGGGGTGGAAGGGGGGGGGGAGAAAGGGGGAGGGGAGTGGGGAGTGGAGGGGAGGGGTGGAGTGGGGAGGGAGGAGGGATGAGGAGATGTGCAGTCGCAACAGTTGTCGCACCAGCAGCATCACCATCACCACCACTGCAAGCGTCATCAGGGGGAGCAGCATCGGTGCTTCTGGGGAGTCCCCCGGTGAATCAGTGGCGGGGGTTGGGGGGCGCTAGGGCCAAGGGGGGGAAGAGGGGCAACGAAAATGTGGTGTGGCCGCCCGTGGTGGTGGTGCGCAACACACACCTTTGCCCGGACGAGGATGGCATGGTGAGGATCAAGTAGTGGGATGCGGTGGAATGTGGTGGGATGATGTGAGTCCACGACAGAGCGTGGTGTGGCCGCCTGTGGTGGTGGTGCGCAACACACATCTGTGTCCGGACGAGGATGACATGTTGAGATACACATATATGGGATGTGGTTGAATGTGGTGGAATGCGGTGGAATGGAATGCAGTGTGTTTGTAGTATGAGACAGAGCGTGGTGTGGCTGCCTGTGGTGGTGGGTGCACAACACACATCTGTGTCCGGACGAGGATGGCATGGTGGGACACAGAAAGGTGGGACGTGGTGGAATGCAGTGGAGTCTGGTGCGAGGTGAGTTTTTGGAGTGTAAGACAGAGTGTGGTGTGGCGGCCAGTGGTGGTGACGCGGTACACACACACACCTGTGCCAGGATGAAGATGGAGTGGAGAGAATTGAATAGAGTCGAATGCAATGGGGTGTGGTTTGGGTGTGGTGGGATGCGGCATGTTTGGAGCAAAGAGTGCTGTACTGTGGCGTGTTGGTGCGACTTTTGAGAATTCTCAAAGGGCATGGGCAGTTTCGAGCTCTGCCAGCAGTTTTCGGGCGTTCATCCGCTGTCTCTCTCCCCTCCTCTCGCCTCTCCCCTTTACCTCCCTCCCCTTCCCCCTTCCCCCCTTCCCCCCTTCTTCCAGTGGTTGGGCATGGGCAGTTTGGAGCTCCGCCAACAGTTTCCGGACTGCAACCTGATCACCAAGGCCAAGAACGCCTATGGGCCGCAGGTAAGGGAAAGGGCAAACGGGGGTTTGCTGTGCTATGTGCTAAGGGGCTGTGCGGTGGTGCGCGGTGCGGTGCGGTGCTGCCTCTGCTCTCCTCCTAGGGCCAGTGTGTTGGGGTTCGAGGCGTCAGTCAGTGGATGGGGCTGCTGCGGGCGGAGTAGCTCTGCGACCTCTGCGACCTCTCGAAGTTCTGACACGTCTCAAAACAAACCTTTTATCTCTGTGCCCTCTGTGCCCTCTGTGCCCTCTGTGCCCTCTGTGCCCTCTGTACCCTCTCTGACCTCTGTGAGAAAGAGACGTGTTTTGAGGCGTCTGTGCCCTCTGCGCCCTCTCAAAACGAATCTTTTACCACATGGCTTCTCTGTGACCTCTGTGCCCTTTGTGACCTCTTCCCTCTCAACCTCTCCGTTTCCCCTGCTCCCGTCGTGGTGTGAGTGTTTATTTTTTTTAGGCTTCACTGGATGGGCTGCTGCATGCGGAGCAGCTGTAGGAGCCTTTTCCTCACACCCTCTCCAGTTCACCCCTCTTCCCTTCGCCCTTTCTGGGGCCACCGGGTCGTGAGTGTGTTGGTGTTCGAAGCATCAGTGGACGGATTGATCGCCTGCCTGCTGCAGGCGGAGCGGCTCTGCGAGCTGTGCCATGGTAACGAGGTGACTTTTGAGTCGACTCAAAAGTAGCATCAGTGGATGGATCGCCTGCCTGCTGCAGGCGGAGCAGCTCTGCCAGCTCTTGCCTCTCACTCTTCCTAACCCCTTGACCCCTTTCCTTTCCCCCTCCCCCTCTCCTCCCAGGGCCACCGTGGAGTGAGTGTGTTGGTCTTTGAAGCGTCAGTGGACGGGCTGCTGCAGGCGAAGCGGCTTTGTGAGCTCTTGCCTCTGCTCACCCGAGGTCACTTTTGAGGCTCTTGCCTCTGCTCACCCGAGGTCACTTTTGAGGCTCTTGCCTCTGCTCACCCGAGGTCACTTTTGAGGCTCTTGCCTCTGCTCACCCGAGGTCACTTTTGAGGCTCTTGCCTCTGCTCACCCGAGGTCACTTTTGAGGCTCTTGCCTCTGCTCACCCGAGGTCACTTTTGAGGCGACTCATTTTCCCCTCCGCTCACCCGAGGTCACTTTTGAGGCGACTCAAGACTCATTTTCCCCTCCGCTCTCCCAAAAGTCACTTTTGAGGCGACTCAAGACTCATTTTCCCCTCCGCTCTCCCAAAAGTCACTTTTGAGGCGACTCAAGACTCATTTTCCCCTCCGCTCTCCCAAAAGTCACTTTTGAGGCGACTCAAGACTCATTTTCCCCTCCGCTCTCCCAAAAGTCACTTTTGAGGCGACTCAAGACTCATTTTCCCCTCCGCTCTCCCAAAAGTCACTTTTGAGGCGACTCAAGACTCATTTTCCCCTCCGCTCTCCCAAAAGTCACTTTTGAGGCGACTCAAGACTCATTTTCCCCTCCGCTCTCCCAAAAGTCACTTTTGAGGCGACTCAAGACTCATTTTCCCCTCCGCTCTCCCAAAAGTCACTTTGTGAGCTCTTGACTCCGCTCACCCGTTCTAACCCCCCTTTCCCCTCCCATTTTCCCGTCTCCTCCCAGGGCCATCGCGGCATGAGTGTGCTGGTCTTTGAAGCGTCAGTGGATGGGCTGCTGCAGGCTGAGCAGCTGTGTGAGCTCTTTCAGGCGGACGGCAGGGGGCGGCAGGGCTGGATTCGCCGGACAGCAACGTCGCTAGTGGACAAAAGCGGCAAGCGGAACCTGTTTGCTTACATGGCACAGGAGGGTGACGTCGCAGAGTTTAATAGGCACACCAAAGGTGGGTTTGGGGTGGGTTCGAGGGTGGCTTTGGGGTGGGTTCAAGGGTGGGTCAGAAGCCTGTTTTGCGTACATGGCACAGGAGGGTGCGGGCGGAGGATAGGAAGTGGGCAGAAGGGGGGTGGGGAAGATAAGGGTGAGAAGGGAAATCAGAAAACGGGAGCAGCTAATGTTTTTTTAGAAAGTGGGTGAAAAGGAAGGTAAGGGGTTGAGGAGAAGCGAAGCTGTTGCAATGCTTGGATGGATTAGCAAGGCGAGGTTGAGGGGGGGGAGAGGTGAGGGGGTTGAGGGCTCTGCTTTAGTTTGCTGGCGGGCAGGAGGGGTGATGGGGGAAGGGGAGATGAGGCATGAGGGGAATGTATATCCTTCCTTTCAAAGAAATAGAAATCCATGTCCTTTATCCATGGCGCATGGCCCGTGACGAATGGCGCATGGGCACATTACATTGCACATGGCAGCTTGTGCATGCCGCATGGCACATGGCGCATGGCACATGGCACATGGCACATGGCGCATGGCACATGGCGCATGGCGCATGGCGCATGGCACATGGCACATGGCACATGGCACATGGCACATGGCGCATGGCGCATGGCACATGGCACATGGCGCATGGCGCATGGCACATGGCACATGGCACATGGCGCATGGCGCATGGCACATGGCACACGGATCGTGACACATGGCATTCATGCCACTTTTCCCCTCCATGCCACACCCCCCTCCCCCTTCCATGCCATAGCCTCCCACTGACCATGTGTATTCATCTATTCCCCATGCCCTGTCATGCCCCATCCCACGCATGTCACCTCGCAGGGAAGACGCAGCTGAGAGTGGATGTGAAGAAGCGGTATGCAGTGGTGGATGAGCGGTTGAGAGCGGTGCGAGAACGGGCTGCTCAAGCGCCCAATGTGGAGGCCACTGTTGCCATGGTGAGATGAAACTGCTGGCATGGTGAGATGAAACTGTTGCCATTATGTGCTGAAACTGTTGCCATGGTGAGATGAAACTGTTGCCGTGGTGAGATGAAACTGTTGCCATGATGAGATGAAACTGCTTCCATGGTAAGATGAAACTGCTTCCATGGTAAGAAGAAACTGCGTCCATGGTAAGATGAAACTGCTAATGGTGAAATATAATTGTTGCAATGGTGGGACTGAATTGCACACGGTGAAATGATACTGTTGCCACACGGTGAGATGAGATGAGATTAACGTGCTTCTTCTGTTGCCACACGGTGAGATGAGATGAGATTAACGTGCTTCTTCTGTTGCCACACGGTGAGATGAGATGAACGTGCTTCTTCTGTTGCCACACGGTGAGATGAGATGAGATTAACGTGCTTCTTCTGTTGCCACACGGTGAGATGAGATGAGATTAACGTGCTTCTTCTGTTTCCACACGGTGAGATGAGATGAGATTAACGTGCTTCTTCTGTTGCCACACGGTGAGATGAGATGAGATTAACGTGCTTCTTCTGTTGCCTTTCCCCCTGGTGCTCTCTCGCGCTTCCTCCCCTCGCCTCTCTCACTTTCCGGCATTCCAGCCGTTCTCACTCTCCCCATCTTCCTTTCAAGCGGCCAGCTAATCCCTTCCAAGCTCGAGCATCGTCTTTGAGACGACTATTTCCTCTCTTCCTTTTCCCTTCAGCCTCTCCCACTCTCTCCCTTTTCCCCTCAGCCTTTCCCACTCTCTCCCTTTTCCCTTCAGCCTTTCCCACTGCCGCCGTGTTTTTTTATCTGTTGATTCCCTCCCTGTTCAGATGTCTCATCGAATCGTGTCGGGACAAGTGGCAGCGTCTCAGCTCCAGGCGGAGCTAGCGCAGGCCAAGGAAGCCAACAGGAAGCTTCTGGCAATGCTGGAGGGTGCCTGGCCAAAGTACCCTCCGCAGCAGTGGGCAGCTGGTAAAGCAGCCCCGGTCCAGCAGCTGCGGAGTAAATCCCAAGTAACAATGCAGGATGGATGGGGGAACCAAGTAGCTGTAGCGGATGAAGAGTGTGCAGCTGCTGCAGCTGTAGCAGTGCAGGATGGGTGGGGATGCCAAGCAGCTGTAGCAGTGCAGGATGGGTGGGGATGCCAAGCAGCTGTAGCAGTGCAGGATGGGTGGGGATGCCAAGCAGCTGTAGTGGGCAAAGATTGTGCTACAGGACAGCAACACACAGAGGAGCAGCAGCGTGAGAGGGAGCAGAAGCATGCGGAGGAGCAGCAGCAGCCTGGGAAGGAGACGGAGGAGCAGCAGCAGCCTGGGAAGGAGACGGAGGAGCAGCAGCAGCCTGGGAAGGAGACGGAGGAGCAGCAGCAGCCTGGGAAGGAGACGGAGGAGCAGCAGCAGCCTGGGAAGGAGACGGAGGAGCAGCAGCAGCCTGGGAAGGAGACGGAGGAGCAGCAGCAGCCTGGGAAGGAGACGGAGGAGCAGCAGCAGCCTGGGAAGGAGACGGAGGAGCAGCAGCAGCCTGGGAAGGAGACGGAGGAGGCTAAGAGTGAGCTTCAGATGGAGGGGAGATCGCCAGAAAACGACGAGCAGGGCGTGAGAACGTCTCTAGTGGAGGCTGCATGTGGGGTGGGCGCGAGTGAGCAAGCTTCTGAGTCAACTTGGAAGGAGCAGGGTGTGCGGGCGCGTCTGGTGGAAGTGGCATCTGCGGTGGGCGCGAGTGAGCAGGAGGTGCTGTCGCTGTGGCAGACGGCAGTGGAGGCAGAGCAGAGGCACTGGAATGAGGTACAGTGCGGTTGGATAAAGTGGGATGCGGTGAGATGTTGTGGGTGTGAATGAGCAGAGTTGCATGGATTACTTTGTACTGCCTTCCCTGCTCTCCCTTCTCCCCATCTCTGCTCTCCTTCTCTCCCTCTCCCTGACTCTTCAGTGTTTTAGGAGATTTTTTAACTTCTTCTGCTGATTCTTAGGTGCCTGACATGCGGCAGCAGCAGCAGGTGGGGAGCCGGGCAAGCCAAGGCCACAGCCCTCCACTTCAGCTCCCACGTCCACTTATATCTTTCTCCTGCCCATCCAATTCCTGCCAGCTGGACAGCCTGGAGGCCTCGTTTGACGTGCAGCAACAGCAGGTGCAGGGGCGAGCCAAGGCAAATGCCCTCCATTTCTCCGCTCACCACAGCTTCTATTTCCTTATCTCTCCCATCCATTTCCTGCCAGCTGGACGGCCTGGAGGCGGCATATGACGTGCAGCAGCAGCAGGTGGAGGGGCGGCTGCAGGTGCTTGCAGGGAGGGAGGTGGAGTGGCGGAGGAGATGGAGAGCTGCGTGCGAAGAGCAGATCCTGGCCTTGGCCGCTGCTGCTTCGGCCACTGCTTCTGCCACTACTGCTGCTGACGGTACTGCTGCTCGCCCTTCTGCTTCCACTGCTTCAGCTGGTGAAAAAGGAGCGGGGAATGAGGGAGAGGAGGGAGGAGATACGACCAGGGGAGCAAAGGCAGAGAGAGACGACGCTGCTGGTCTTTGGACTGGAATCAAGCATCTAGAGGGAAGCTGCCAGGAAGCAGTGGCGTACAGCCGGGAGGTGCAGAGGCTGCAGCAGGAGCACCAGAGCGCCAAGGCAGAGGCCTTCAGGCGCCACAGGGAGGAGGCTCTCGCTCTCGACCGAGCCTTCGAGGCTCGGTGGGCCCAGCTGCTGGCTCGGCAGGAGGCTCGGGTTGGGATGCCCGAGGCTGAGACAGGGCGTCGCGAGGGGTGGCTTGATGAAGGCGAAGGTGGGGGAGAAGGGGAGGAGACGGTGTGCGTTGGAGAGGAAAGGTAAGCTGGTGTTTATAGTGGAAGCCAGGTCACTAAGGGAAGTGGGAGTTTAGGGAGTTCAGTTAAAGCTCGCGGCCCAAATTGTACAACTTTACTAAAGTTGCATGTTGAGAGGCGAGGGAGCAGGGTTGGCTAGTCGAGGTGTTGGGTGGGTTGAGGGCTTTGGTTTCGTCGCCCAACTTCTCGCCAATCTCAAACACATTTCGCTGACTCAGTAGACCCCAGGGGCCACTTCGCGTTTGGTTGCATGAGTCCCATATTGCTCAATTACTATCCTTGCCGGTTTCCCACCCAACCCCCTCCGCAAACACTGTTTCAATTTTGCTAGCCAATCAGCTCAGTGTTTCAAATTGACTAGCCAATCAACTTCCTTCGTACAACCCGTAACCTCAATTCGCAAAACCAGCACCTGCAAAACAACTATCAATCAACCTTACTAAGGTTGCCCAGCGCGGCCCGCAATTTGGGCCGCAAGCTTTAAGGGGCCTTGAAGTCAATCATTCTCTAGTGTGTCACTGTGGGGAAGCTAGCTGATATGTAAATATACATTATGGCTAGGGTTGGCTTTGTTGATGAGCTTCCCCCAGTAGTCCACCCCACTACACTTCACTCACCGGGACAGCTGCGGTAGCTTCTGTTTGTATGATTTGTATAGTCCAACCATAGGGAGGATCCAAGGTGGCCTTCGTTCATAAAAAAGACCGGGTGCAGTGCAGAGAGTGCTTGAAATGCTGCGGAAAGAACTTCTTTATGGTATCATTTTGATTCTGAATGAATGACAGTGAATACACAATTGTCAGCGCAAGTTCTTACGAGACACTTACCGTGAACAACGCTCGACTGTCGATTCCGTGTTTTGTTTTGCGAAAATTCACAACTCGACTCGGCGGCAGAACTATGCCGAACCAAACCCCAGCCTGTCGATTCCCGCCAAACCCAGTTTGCACGCCTCCCTGCTCCCCGCCAAGGTTACAAACTGGGCTCGGGTGTTCCCTAGGGTGACTTGAGCTTGGGAAAAAGGTGCAACCACTAGTGGCTCTGATGAGCATCACCTCAGGTACAATGGGGTTTCGGCTACCGTGGTTACCAGATCATGTTTCGAAACCTAACCGCTCCCAGCCACTTATCGAGTCACCCCCGCCCATCATGCCGTGTAAAGCTGATTTCCTCACTTCCACTCGCTGGACCCCTCTCTGACGCTCGCGCATTTTCTTTGTCATTGTTTCACCTCCCCAATAGTCTCTGATAACTTCTTAAGTTGACGCAATGGCGGATAGGACTCAACGGAATACGTTTCCGTTTCTGGGTTCCATAGGCCGATCGCCCTCCGTTGAACCACCGTTTGCTAACTTGCATCAGCAACTGTACCAGCAGCAGCAGCCACAGCAGCAACCTCATCAGCAATATCCACCTCAGCAGCAGTATCCTCAGCAACTGCAGCTCCAGCATGGTTATCAGCAACAACAGCAACAACTGCAACAACCGCAGCAGCAGCAGCCGCAGCAGCAGCAGCAGCAGCCACAGCAGGAACAAGTTATCTATCAGCAACAGCACAACCAAAATCAGCAGCATCGACAGGGCTATCAACAGCAGCAACAGGGTTACCAGCAGCAAGAGAACCAGCCTCAGCAACAAGCTTACCAACAGCAGCAGCAGCAGCAAGTGTACCATCAACAATTTCAGCAGCAGGAAGGTGGTTACCACAACCAGCAACATCGCCTTCAGGAGGCTTCGGCTGTCGCATGGCCCTCCGTCGCGCAGGAAAGTCCCGCCGACCCACCAGCCAATCACGTGACGGCGACATCTTCAGGGCCGCAAGCCGCTCCTCTAGACAGAGACGTTGGAGTTCAAGACATTCTCGCCTTCTGGCGTCAGCTACAAGCGAGTACGGGAAACCAGCTCCAAACGAGTCTAACGAATCAGTTTCAAACGAGTACGACGCCGAACCAGCTGCAAACGAGTCTCGCCAGTCAACTGCAAACAAATCGCGAGCAAGCAAGTGTTGTTGCCTCCGTGGCAGACGCGATATTGGCTGCTTCGCTAGGAAACAGGACAGGGCTATGGACAGATACCGCGACGGAATTGTTAGCGTCTGCAGGGTCGGGAGTTACCCCAGCAGGCGGATTGGCGGTTGTAGGAGGGGCGACCGGGGCTAGGTTGGTAGCAGCGCAAGATGGAGCAGAAGCAGCGGTTATTGCAATGGCGGGCCACAGCGCTCGAAACACTGCGCCTGAGGCTTTTGCGGCTGCAGGCTTCGCGGAACCAGCAGGTACGGGAAGAGCAGGCATTGGAATGTCAGGCACAGGACTGGCAAACACGGATATGGCAGGTCCGGGAAGGACAGGCTCGGACAGGAGAGGCATGGCAACGGCAGGCATGGGAGTTGCGGGTACGGCGGCAATGGGTGAGATAGGCCTGCGCAGTCGTGAGTTGGAGACAGGGGCGGGAGATCAAGACTTGCTCACCGCCTTGAACCGCGGCTTAAACCGTGGCTTGAGCCATGAGCCGACAGTGGGCCCGCTTGCTGGCGTGGGCATGGCTTCTGGTTCTGCGCGTGCTGGGCGAACTGAGGCGTTTCGACCTGCTGAGGCGCAAGAGGGGAATGAGGGGCACGGGGGGCATGGGGGGCATGTGGGGCATGGGGGTGGCGAGTGGCGCGAGGGGAGAGACGGGCGCGAAGGGCGCGGGCGCAGCGTTGGCGCAAGGGACGCGTATGGCAGTGCTTCGAGTCACCACGTGACCCCGCAAGGCGTGGCACCACCGCAAGCTCTAATACGACAAGTCATGACACCTTATGACATGGCACCACAGGCCATGGCAGCACAGGGCATGGCCGCACAGGTGGTGCCGCCCGAAGCTCGGATGCAGCCAGATGTTGTGATGCCGCAAGGCGTGGCACAGGTGTCGCGGCGGAGCCTGGAGCCCATGCTTCATGGGCAGCCACGTCAGGAGCCGCTGCCACGTCAGCATGCGCGTCAGGAGTCCGTGCCACGTCACCAGCCGTTTCAAGAGCCCGCCCCACTTCAACACCCGTTTCAGGAGCCTGTAGCGCGTGGACAGCCCGTGCCACGTCAGCAGCCTCGGCGAGAGTGGTGGCTTGATGCGATAGGGGAAGGTGAGCTGATTCAGGTTACTAGGGACAGCGCAACTGCAGATACCAGGGCGAGCGGTCAAGTGCCTACGCTTGAAACGGGTGGTGCTAATATGGGGTATGAGCGGCTTCAAGAGCACCCGGAAGGCCGTGAAAGGGTTCAAGGAGAGGGTCTTAACGATATGCAGTTTCACAGTAACGAGTACAGGGAAAATGGTGGTGGTGGCTTGCAGGCGTTGCAAGGGAGGCAGCAAGGGGATGGGGGGTTGCGAGGGGGGAGAGGAGAGGTGACCCCAGCTGACGTGCGGTATGTGGATGACTGGCAGCAGCGGCAGCAGCAGCAGCAGCAGCTGTTGTTGCAACAGAAGCAGCAACAGCTGCTGCAGCAGCGACAGCAGCCGCGGGAGCTCCTGCAGCAGCAGCGGTTAGATGATGAGCAACTGTTGTTGCTGCTGCAGCAACAGCAACAACAAGAGGTGCAGCAGCAAGAGCAAGAGCAGCTGCAGCTGCAGCAGCAGGAGCAAGAGATGCTGCGACAGAGACAGCAGCAACTGCAGCAGGAGCAAGAGAGGCAGCGACAGCAACAACTGCAGCAGGAGCAAGAGAGGCAGCAACAGCAACAACTGCAGCAGGAACAAGAGATGCTGCGACAGCAGCAACTGCAGCAGGAGCAAGAGAGGCAGCGACAGCAACAACTGCAGCAGGAGCAAGAGAGGCAGCGACAGCAACAACTGCAGCAGGAGCAAGAAAGGCAGCGACAGCAACAACTGCAGCAGGAGCAAGAGAGGCAGCGACAGCGGCAGCAACAACAGCAGCAGGAGCAGGAGAGGCAGCGACAGCGACAGCTACAGCAACAGCAACAGCAGGAGCAGCAGCAGCAGCAACAGCAGCATTTTCTATGGCAGCAGTGGCAGGAACAGTTGGCACAGCAGCAGGTGCAGCACGGACAGGATCAGCAGCCAGAAGCCCAACAAGAGCAGCAGCAGCAGCAACCAATAGAGCATCAAAATTATCAACAACAGCAGCACCACCACCACCACTACCAGCAGCAGCAGCAGCAGCAGCAGCAGCAGCAGCAGCAGCAGCAGCAGCAGCAGCGGTGGCAGGCAGAGCGGCAAGAAGACCCAATTTCGGGGCACACTGCAAGCCCAATCGCGCAATTTTCTGGTGCGGCAGCAGTAGCAGCCGCAACAACAACAACAGCAGCAGCTGACGTGGCAGTGGACAGTGCGGACGAAGCATCAGATTCAGAGCTGATGGACGGTGCTGATGTGGACATGGACGGCACTGACGTGGACATGGACGGTGCTGACGTGGACATGGACGAGCTTGATCTGCGGGGTGAAGAGGCCGCTGAAGCCATCACCACCGCTGCCTTCCGCCCCGCTGCTGCCGGTGCTGCTGCTGCCGCTCCTGTTGCTTCTGCCACTGCCGGCACTGCTGCTGCTGCTGCTGCTGCTGCCACTGCTGGTACCACTGCTGCCACTGCTGCCACTGCTGCCGCTGCCGCCAGTGTGGGTGCACGATGGCAACGAGTGAACTGGACTGGCAACACGCACACAGCACTTCCCCACCCTCCACAGCAGCAGCAGCAGGTGCGGCAGCAACAGCAACAGCAGCAGCAGCGGGGGTGGCTGCAGCAGCAGCCGCAAGAGCAACTGAGACAGCAACCGCAGCAGCAGCGACAGCGGCGGCAACAGCGGCAGCAGGAACAGCAGCAGCAACAGGCTCGGCAGCAGCAGCAAGAGCAGCAGCAGCAAACCTCAGCAGTAGTAGTAGCCCCTGCCATTCAGGGTTCTGCAGCAACGCCTTCTGCGCTCCTTCCTGGACGCGAAGCTTCTGCGCAACTTCCAAGTCGTGAGCATGTCAGGCCGTATTCCATGCCAGAAGCAGCTCCCCATCCCCCTCATCCCCCCACCCACATGCACACCCTCCCCCCGGCATCGGTGCCTTTTGAATCGACTCACGACTCTTCCCCTCTTCCCACTCACGCCCATGCCCTCCCATCGTCAGCACCTGGGGGTGGCGGAAGGGAAACAGGGAGAAGCGGGAGGGGGAGAGGCAGGGGAAGCGGAAGGGGGAGGGGGAGGGGCAGGGGAAGGGAAATGGCCAGGGGAACGGGAGGTGGGGAACTCGAAGAAGGGGTGGGGAGGAGAGACGAGGGGCCAGGGAGGCTGGGGCAAGGCGAGGGTATGGCCAGGGGTCAGAATATCGCTCTTGCTGCTGCTGCTGCTGCTGCTGCTGGCCCTCCTGCTGCTGCTTCTGCGGCTGCTGGTGCTGCTCCTGTTTCTGGTGCTCCCACCACCACCACTGCTGCTGCTGCCGTGCCTGGTTCACTTGCTGCTGCTGCTGGCGCCACTGGTACTGGCGATGAGGCTGCTACTGTTGATGCAGGTGCGGCTGGTGTTGTTGGTGTTGGTGCTGCTACCGCTGATGCAGGTGCTGCTGGCGTTGGTGGGAGAAGCAGCGTGGTAGCTGGGGGAAGAGGAAGGGGTGGGGGAGCTTTGTTGGTGGGGCAGGGCAGAGGCATGGGCAGAGTTATGGGTAGGGGCATGGGTGGGGGCATGGGCAGAGTTATGGGTAGGGGCATGGGTAGGGGCATGGATGGGGGCATGGGCGAGGGCATGGGTAGGGACATGGCTAGGGACATGGGTATTGGCATGGGTAGGTTCATGCCTGGGGGCATGGCTGGGGACATGGGTAGAGGCATGGGTATGGACATGGGCAGAGGCATGGGTAGGGACATGGGTAGAGGCATGGGTATGGACATGGGCAGAGGCATGGGTAGGGACATGGGTAGAGGCATGGGTATGGACATGGGTAGAGGCATGCCAGGGGGCAGAGGTGGCGGTATACCTGTGGGAACGGGTAGGGGCGTGGGTAATGGCATGGGCGGGCGCATGGGCAGGGGCAGGGGAAGAGGCAGAGGCAGGGGCTTTTCTGCAGGATATCTTGCTGGGCTTGCCGCTGCCCGTGCTGCACTTGCCCTTGAAAGCGGTGCTCTGGATGCTGCTCCTGCTGCTGGTGCTGCTGTTGGTGGTGCTGCTGCTTCTGGCCCTGCTTCTGCTGCTGCTGCTGCAGCACAAACACTTGCAGGAGCAGCGCCAGCAGCAGCAGGAAGAGGAGGAGCAACGACGGCCGCAGTGGCGGCAGCAGCAGGAGAAGGGCTGGACGGAGGAGTGGATTGGGAGATTGAGATGGGGAGCATGCCCTTGGATGAGGATGACGATGATGGTGACGGTGATGATGGCACTGAGCCGTGGCCGTCCGAGAGAGTACAAGAGGCGGGAGGAGCGGCGGGAGGACGAGCAGATGCAGTGACGGCAGCAGCAGCAATAGCAGCAGCAGGAGCGGACGGGGTGGGAACGGAACGGGCAGCAGCAGGCGTGCAAGGTGAGGCAGCAGCAGGAGGGGGGGCAGCAGCAGGAGGGGGGGCAGCAGCAGGAGGGGGGGCAGCAGCAGCGGGGGAGGGTGGGGTGGAGGACGAGGGGGAGTGGCGACCGATTCGGCTGCGGAAGGGGCGGCCGAAGAGGCAGAACAAGCTGGATGTGCCGACCAAGAGGGAGATGTGCGCCCTCAAGCGCTTGCGCCCGGGCCTCACCCACGCCAACATCATCCAGCTGCTGCAGGTGAGAGCGGTGCATGGTGTGAGAGCGGTGCATGGTGTGAGAGCGGTGCATGGTGTGAGAGCGGTGCATGGTGTGAGAGCGGTGCATGGTGTGAGAGCGGTGCATGGTGTGAGAGCGGTGCATGGTGTGAGAGCGGTGCATGGTGTGAGAGCGGCGCATGGTGTGAGAGTGGTGCATGGTGTGAGAGTGGTGAATGTGGTACCTAGCAGAGGCGCACCTGAGGCAGAACAAGCTGGATGTGCCGACCAAGCGGGAGATGTGCGCCCTCAAGCGCTTGCGCCCGGGGTTGACCCACGCCAACATCATCCAGCTGTTGCAGGTGAGGTGGTGGAGCGGTATCTAGCAGGGCAGGCGAGTTTTGAGGCGCCTCAAAAGGCAGGCGAGGCAGAACAAGCTGGATGTGCCGACCAAGCGGGAGATGTGTGCCGGTGGAGAGCCGGCGGACTGACGACTGGAGCGTCAGGTTCACGCACAGCAAGCGTGTGCGTGACACGCAACAAACGTGTGCGTGACACGCAACAAGCGTGTGCGTGACACGCAACAAGCGTGTGCGTGACACGCAACAAGCGTGTGTGCGAGCATCAAGCGTGTGTGTGAGCATCAAGCGTGTGTGTGAGCATCAAGCGTGTGTGTGAGCATCAAGCGTGTGTGTGAGCATCAAGCGTGTGTGTGAGCATCAAGCGTGTGTGTGAGCATCAAGCGTGTGTGTGAGCATCAAGCGTGTGTGTGAGCATCAAGCGTGTGTGTGAGCATCAAGCGTGTGTGTGAGCATCAAGCGTGTGTGTGAGCATCAAGCGTGTGTGTGAGCATCAAGCGTGTGTGTGAGCATCAAGCGTGTGTGCGAGCATCAAGCGTGTGTGTGAGCATCAAGCGTGTGTGCGAGCATCAAGTGTGTGTGTGAGCATCAAGCGTGTGTGCGAGCATCAAGTGTGTGTGTGAGCATCAAGCACCCCAGTCCACCCCCACCCACCTACCTCCCCTCCCCACATTCCCCGCTTCCCCCACTCCTCTTTCCTCTACTCCCGGCCCCTCTCTTCCCTCCCCCTCCTTTGCAGCAACGCTTCCCTGGGCTGCGAATGGAGTCGTCGCACGTGACCAAGATCATAAAGGATGGGCGCCAATCCTTCTCCCCAGCCCCACTCCCCCCTCTCTGCAACCGCTCTTCCCAACCCCTCCCCTCAACCCCTCTCCCCAACCCCTCCCCTCAACCCCTCTCACCAACCCCTCTCCCCAACCCCCCTCCCCAACCCCTCCCCCCTCTCCTTAGCAGATTCGCTTCCCTGGGCTGCGCATGGAGTCGTCGCACGTGACCAAGATCATAAGGGACGAGAGCCGGTGGTTTGACGAGCGGAACGTGAGGTTTGTGCACAACATGCGCGTGCGCATGCCCGACTGCTACGCGCTCGAGGAGGCCCTGGCAGCGTGGTACAAGGAGGGGCGCTCTCCCTCTCCTCAACCCCTCTTCCTAACCCCTTTTCCCAACCCCTCTTCCCAACCCCTCTCCCCACTCCCACTCTCCTCAACCCCTATCCCCCCCAACCCCTCCCCCTCTCCTTTGCAGATTCGCTTCCCTGGGCTGCGCATGGAGTCGTCGCACGTGACCAAGATCATAAGGGACGAGAGCCGGTGGTTTGACGAGCGGAACGTGAGGTTTGTGCACAACATGCGCGTGCGCATGCCCGACTGCTACGCGCTCGAGGAGGCTCTGGCAGCGTGGTACAAGCAGGAGCGCATGCACGGCCGCATTCCGCTGTCTAGAGTCTCTGGCAAGGCCCGGGAGCTTGGCCCGCTGCATGGCGCCCCGGCGGATTTCAAGTGAGCGCCAGCGGATTTTCAGCTCCTATCCTTGAACTCGAAACACGAAACCCTCAACTTCAAACTTTAAAAAAGGTGCACACAGCTTAGAAATTGGTGTGCTCTATGCTCTAACCCCGTTGCTTCCGCTGCCACCGCCCCTCCTGTGCTCTCCCAACCCACCTGCAGGTACAGCACCGGATGGGTGATGCGGTTTCAAGAGCGGTGGGGGTTCTCAAAGAAACACCTGGATGCAGCTAGGGAGGCACACTTTCAGGAAGAGGAGGAGGACGACGACGGGGAGGGGGAGGGAGCGGGTGGGGGTGGGGGTGGGGGTGGGGGTGGGGGTGGGGGTGGGGGTGGGGGTGGGGGTGGGGGTGCTGCTGCTGCTGAGGGGGAGAATCCTGGCCCTTCACTTTTGGAGCTTGCTGATCGGATGTTTGGGCCGGAGATTAGGGAGGCTGGGCGGGGAGGTAGGGGTCGGAGGAGGAGGAGGCAGAGGGAGTGGACTGCGGATGGACGCGAGGTGATCGATTTGGAGAGTGAGGAGGATGAGGAGGGCGGGGGAGGGAGTGGGGAGGACGGGGATGAGGAGGGGGGGGAGAGAGAGGAGGAGAAGGAGGAGGAGAGGGACGGTGAGGGTGGAGGGGAGGAAATGGGACAAGCGGTGGAAACACAGGAGGGAAGGGAAGTGCGTGGGGAAGAAGGGGTGCGAGAGGAAGGAGCGGTGCATGAGGGGGGGATAGGCCCACACACTCCCACTCCTCAAACCACCACCCTAGCAGATCGCTTCCCCCGCCCCACCCTAGCAGAATTGGCTCTAGCAGAGGCGATTGCAGACGGCACGATATCAGATGAGGGCGGGTCTCTCCGTGTGAGGGGTGACCTGGCCTCCCTTGCTCTGGCTGAAGCCACAGGAGCCCTGCCTGCTGCTGCCATTGCTGCTGCCGGGGATATTCTGTCCGTCGCTGCTGGACCTGCTGCTGCTGGTGCTGCGTCTGGTGTTCCTGGGAAAAAGCAGCCAGCACGGCAGCAGAGGCAGCGGCGGCGGCAGCAGCAGGTGGGGAGAGGTGGACGGGAGTCGCGGCGGGGAATGAAGTACCAGACTCGGCGGCATTTCAACCTCACAGTGAAGTTCAAACGAGCCATGTGCTTGCTCCAGCAGGCTGTGCCTGAGTTGCGGGTCAAGGGGCTATTGCGGCTGGTTACCCAGGAATGTGAGGGTAAGTTGCTCGAGAGCGTACCGTACTGCAACATTCGCAAAATGCTGAGCCAGAGGGACTATTACCTCCGGTCTCAGGACATGGAAACTCGTTTCCGGTATAGAAAGCCGAAATACCCGGAATTTGAGAGGGCGCTCTCAGAGTGGGTGCGTGAAATGAAGGGCAAGTATGGGGAGGACGTTTTAGTGTATGAGGATGTGAAAGGGTATGCGAAGCAGCTAGGGCCACGCATGGGCGTGCGTAAAACCTTTACTTACAGCCATGGTTGGGTGGCAAGGTTTTTGCGCCGGCAGGGGTTGAATCTGAAGAGTATTAGGAGGGATGTGGCAAAGGGCGGGGAACCTGGGGTGGGTGGGTACGGGAATGGGGAGGGCGAGGGGGAGAGGGAGGCGGGGGAGGGTCAGGGGGAAGGGGATGAGGGAGGGACGGATGGAGAGAGGGGAGGGGTTACTACAGACGATGGTGCTAGTACTGATGCGGGCGGTGAGGGCGAGGGGGATGAGGAAAGGGGGGACGAGGAGGGAAGGGAGGAGGGAGGGGAGGCGGGAGGAGGGGAGGCCGGAGGGGGAGGGACAGAAGGAGGGGAGGCAGCAGGAGGACGGGAGGCAGCAGCAGGGAATGCAGCAGCAGCAGCAGCAGCAGCAGGAAGTGCAGCAACAGCAGGAAAGGAAGCAGAAAAGGCGGCAGGAAAGGAAGCAGAAAAGGCGGCAGGAAAGGAAGCAGAAAAGGCGGCAGGAAAGGAAGCAGAAAAGGCGGCAGCAGCGCGGGAGGCGGATGAGCTGGCAGGGAGGATCATGGATCTGGTGGCGCGGATCAACGCAGGGGTCGCCGTGCCACTGCTGGACGAGGGGCTGCTGCCAAGGAAAGGAGGCACGAAAGGAGGCAGGAAAGGAGGCAGGAAGGGAGGGAGGGGGCCTCTGAACCATGACGGTAATAACGATGGGGGTAACGGTAGCGATGGTGGTAACAGCGGCGGTGGTGGTAACACCGGTGGTGGTGTGAAGCAGCGGATGCAGGTGCCGCTGCCGCTGAAGCTGGCCGCGTGCGCCGTCTACCGCGCCCGCCCTGACCTACCCCATGTGATTGTCCACCAGACCCTGCAGAAGCGGTACAATGTGAAGCTAGAGCGGTTGAAAGCGGCCAATATGCTGAGCATGGAGGGGGTTATGAGGGAGACGATGCAGCGGGGCATGGTGCGGGCGCGGAAGGGCAGAGAGGTGCAGCTAGAGGAGGCTCTTGCTATGGCTGTGCGGGAGGCTGCAGCTAGGATGGGCGGGGAGCGGGGTGGGGAGGGAGTGGGAGAGGGTGGGGCGGCAGGGGATGGAGATGGAGGGGGAGAAGGGGCAGTAGCAGGAGGAGGAGCGGGGGGAACAGGAAGAGGAGCGGGAGGAGTGGGAGGAGAGGGAGCAGGGGCAGCAGGAGGGGGGGGAGCAGGAGTGGCAGGAGCAGAAGGCGAAGCCACAGCAGCAGCAGCGACAGCTGCCCCCCCTGCCCCGCTGATGACGGTCCCTCAGATACTGGCATATGCGAAGCGCCTGGGCCCGCTGGTGGGCGTGTCCCCCTCGTTCCGCTACAGCACCAGCTGGCTGCGGTGCTTCCTGGTGCGCCACCAGCTCGAAGCATTCGTTGCTGGGCGAGCCGCGCGGAAAGGGGGTGGAGCGGGAGGAGGAGGGGTGGGAGGAGAAGGACCGGGGGAAGGAATGGGGGGAGGAACGGGTGGAGGAACGGGGGAAGGAGCGGGGGGAGGAGCGGGGGGAGGAGCGGGGGGAGGAGCGGGGGGAGGAGCGGGGGGAGGAGCGGCAGGAGGAGCGGGAGGTGAGGGGGAGTGCGAACCGGAGGGGTTGAGAGGGATTCTGGATGAGACATTTCATGTGAGGCAGGAGGAGGTGGATGCTCTGGTGAGAATGGCTGACCGGCTGTGGCGGAGGAAAATGCGCATGAAACGGGGGCAGAAGGGGGGAGAGGAGGTCGAGGACTCTGGGGACGAGGAAAGCGAGGGGGAGAGGGGGAGGGGAAGGAGCAGGAGAGCGGCGAGTGGGGATGGGGATGGGGATGGAGGGGAGGATGGAGGTGGGGGCGATGGTGACGACTCTGGTAGCGATGGCGGTGGTGGTTTTGGGGGTATGGCCGGGCGAAGCACTCACTTCCAGCTCCATGACTCAGGGGCCTCCAGTGGGGATGAGCAGGCAGGAGGGCATGGGGCGAGAGTCACTCGCTCCCAGCATCTGCATTCCCTCTCAAACCTGCCTGGGGCGCGGGTGGTGCCGCCGTCTCTTGCTTCTTCTTCTCTTGCGCCGGGTGGAGCAGGCACGAGGTGGGGAGCAGCAGCAGCAGCAGCAGCAGCAGCAACGCTTGTGCCCGCGCCTGTGACCACAGCAGAGGGGATCCTGTCAGAGTTAGCAGACGTGCGTGTGGGGTCTCTGTCAGAAGCGCACCCGTCCCTGCTCTCCTCCTGGTCCCGCCTCTCTTCTGCTTCTCCTGCTAGCGCTGCCAGCGCTGCTGGTACTACTGGTGCTGCTGGTGGGGGTGTAGGCGCTGCTGTTGGGGTTATAGACGGTTTAGGGGGCATGATTGGCGGGATGACTGGCGGGAGCGAGGCGGAGCTAAGATTGGCCCGGCGGCGCCGAGAAATGCTGTCCTCTGATGCCTTCTATAAGCGCTGGCAGGAGCATGCGAGAGTGCTCCGAGAACAGCGAGAGAAAGCGGGGGAGAGAAGAGGTGGCGAGGGAGGAGGGGGGGAGAGAGGCGTGGGAGAGGGAGCGGGGGGGGGGGGAGGGAGGAGGAAGGGTGGCCGGCAATGTGGTGGGAGGGGAGAGAGGTGCAGGAGGAGGGAGTGGAGGTGGGGGAAGTGGAGGTGGGGGGGGTGGGGAGGGGGCGTGGGAGCAGGACGAGGGGTGGCAGTGGTGGATGCGGTCGGGTGTGGTGGGGGTGCGGCAGATGGTAGGGGCGTGGGATACCCTCTTGGCTGTGCGTGCTGTGTGTGTGGGAGGGGAGCGTGGTGCTGGTAGGGGTAGTGGCGGTGGGGAAGGGGGAGGTGGTGGTGGGAGAGTGGGAGTAAGGGGGGCTGGGGTAGGTGGGGGAAGAGGGAGAGGTGGTGGGAGAGGGGCAGGAGCGGGGAGAGGGAGGGAAGCGGTCGTGCGATGGGGGGCTGGGTTGCAGGTGAAGCAGGAGTGGGATGAGGTGGAGTACGGTGGCAGTATGGGGCATAGGACTGAGGCGAGTTCCAGTGGCAGCAGTGGTAGTGGTGGCAGCAGCAGCGGCGGCAGCAGCGGTGGCAGCAGCAGTGGCAGCAGCGGTGGCAGCAGCGGGAGTGACAGTCAAGAGTCGAGCAGATCTGTCGAGGATGAAGATAACAGCAACAGTGACGCGTCTTATAACGAGGATGGCAGTAAGGAGGAGTGGGAGGAGAAGCCGGCAGTGGGGAGGCAAGGGGGAGGGCTGCGGCAAGCGTGGGTGAATAAAAGGGGGACTGGGGTACGGGCTGGAACACGGGGGACTGTGGGGCGGATGGGTAGAGGGGGCACTGGAGGAAGGGGCACGGGGGGGCGGGGCAGGAAGAGGCGCAGGGGTGAGGAGCAGGGCGGGGCGATGGTGGGTGCAAAACGCGGGAGGAGAGGGGGATTTGGGGTAAGAGGTGGTGGGCGAGGAGGGGGCACGGGACGGGGGCGAGGTGGGTTTTCAGGGCTGAGAGGAGGTGGAGGAGCCATGCTGGCAGGCCGAGGTGGGTTGGCAGGAAGGGGCAGGGCAGCAGGAAGGGGATGGGAAGCAGTAGGGCGAGGTGGATTGGCAGTAAGGGGCGGGGCAGCAGGAAGGGGATGGGAAGCAGTAGGGCGAGGTGGATTGGCAGTAAGGGGCGGGGCAGCTGGAGTAGGTGGGGTGGCAGGAAGTGGATGGGCGGCAGGGCTAAGTGGGGCTGCAGGAAGAGGCTGGGCGGCAGGAATGGGCTGGGCGGCAGGAAGAGGTGGCGGCGGATCAGGGCCACCGCCGGGTCCCACTGGGCAACCGTCGTCCTTTGCAGCACTGCTGTCACAGCTCCTCTCCTCCACTGGCCCCCCTCCCGGCACACTCACCCCTCCTGCTGCTGCCAACATCTCCAATCCCCTCAACCCTCACACTGCTCAGGGGTTTAGGGCTGGAGGGTTTGGGGGGGGTGGAGCTGAGGCTGATGTTGGTGCTGCCGCTGTTGCCAATGCGTCTGCAGCGGCAGCTGCTGCTGCTCGAATGCCATCGGCTACAGTGACCACCACTACTGTCACTCCTGGTGGGTTCACCACCACCACTATCGTTCCGAACAGATAATTCTCCTATTTTGTACATTCTCGAGGTGTACTTGTGGGTCCAACACCACATCAAATAGCATGTTTTCTGTAGTCATAGCATGTAACATGGTAGTGCACATTGCACATTTATCCAGAAATATTGTCGCTTGCTAACTTTCATCGCATCCCCGAAACCCATCCCTAACCTAGACACAAACCTCCCCCAAACCCCTTCGGGTCTCTCAATTTCAATAAACAGCCCAACCGCACCCGACCCATGCATGTGTGACTGACACCCCACTTTGTAGTTGGCATAGTTACCTTTTCCCTCCCATTTCCCTGCGTCTTCAACGGGCCATTACACTTCCTGCCCGAACACCCTCCCGAGCTGCCCGCGAATGGCGCCGCCGGCGTAATGCGTGGTACTGACTGTCACATAATAACTCTCCGGCTCTTGCAGAATCACCCGCACCGCATCCCAAAGCAAGTGCTGGTCTCGCTCACTCGACGCGAAGTAGGTAGTACTAGCTTCATTACTGGTACTACCAGTAGTGTTACCGAAACGGTCACCCTTCCCCGCCTCGTGTTCCCCCGCGCCCCTCCCCGTTTCGACGCGCAGCTCCTCCGCGCTCCCCCCGACCGCGCCAGCGCAGGTCACCGTCAGGGAAGCGCTATCTGCGGCGTGGCGACCGGCGCGGCGCCCCGTGGGGCCGCACGGCAGGTCCAGGAGGCGCTCATGGTGCGCGCCCGCCTCGCCCTTCCTCCCGCGGTGCGCGCTCATCTTCCGCGGCGGCGCGTCGCGCGAGAGCCCGATGATGATCACCTTGTATTCCAGCCGGAGCGCTCCGCTGGAATCTCTGCCAAGTTTGGGAGGGGCGTTTGGGATTGGTGCTTGATTTCTCACTCACCGAGAAGCAACTTTCTCCGCATTCCCTCGCGCGAGAGCCCGATGATGATCACCTTGTATTCCAACCGGAACAGCCCGTTGGAGTCTCTGCCGAGTTCAGGAGACGCGGTTGGTTACGTAACGACAGAACAGGAAAGAAATAACTTAACGCCACCATAATTTCGTCGGGACAGCCCCTTGAGAATCGCGTTGTATTCCACCCAGACCGTTTCGCTCGAGTCTCTGCGGAGTATGATGATGGAGGGGTTTCAATGCCGGCAGCTGCGGCATTGAAGAGTTCGGGTTGCGCAGAAAGGCCAAAAAAAACGCCCGACGCGCACGGGTTCCTTTCCTCGTCTTTCGAGAATGGCGGAACCGCTGGTAATAGCTAGTAAAGCACGCAGCTCGACGCGACGGATCGCAGCGCAACGCACTGTACCGCACTGTAACACACTGTACCGCACTGTACCGCCGCAACTCTCACCTATGGATGGTGGCGTTCAGGAAGCCGTAGGCTTTGGGATCTCCGCGCGCCGGCACCACCTGTCGCCCCGTCAGCTTCGCGTAAATCTCCTGCACCGACGCGCTTCCGCCGCTGCCGCCACTGCCGCCCACCGCTGCCGCGCCGGCGAGGTACTGCCTGGGGACGGCGCTATCTGACAGCACCCCTGCGGGGAGAGATGATGCTGCCCCAGTCGCGATGGTCGGGGGAGGAACGAGCGTGTGGTTTGGTTTTGCTGTCGCATTAGCTGAGGGGAGATGGGCTGGTGTGGGTGGGTCGGGATGCTCGAGGTGCGCTATTTTGGTCGCTTGGCCTGCAAACGACAGGTTGGGTGCGTGGGGAAAGGGAAGCACGTAGCTGCGTCATACATCTTTGGAGATTAACAGATGTGAACGTAAATGTGAGTGAATGCGGGTGTGAATGTGAGTGTGATTGTGAGTGTGAGTGTGAGTGTGAATGTGAATTTTAACTGTGAGTGTGGGTGTGATTGTGAGTGTGGTTGTGACTGTGCGTGAATAACGGGCCCCATTATTCTGTAATTATGCAGGAGGATTCTTAGAACTCTTAAAAATGTCCTACGTGGTCCTCTGGTTGTCTGGTCAGCCCGAGCACCAACAGCCGTACTAAGCAGTTGAGTTTAGATTGTGAAACATGATACGTGAGTGAGGCAGCGGCACCAGCAGCCTGAAACAGGTGGGTCTTGCGTCGAATGAGAGACGCGAAATGGCAGCTCACCTTGATCCTGGCCGTGCCCCGTCAGCGCGAGCACCAACAGCGCAGCGACCACTGCATTCCGTGCGCAAAGGGCGAAGGGGTGAGGAAAGGTAAGTGGGGTGAGAGGGTGAGGTTGGGAGGAGAATCTGGGCATATATGTTTTTTTCTCTCTTTTTTTTTCATCTTTTTTTTCAGCCGCGCTTCCCTAAACTTCTTTCTGCATTCTCCTTAGACCCATTTCGCGTCATCGCACGGCCGCCCTAACTCGTTTCGGGAGTTTTGGACATGTGATCCCGCCACGATGGCTCAGCAAATTGTCATCCCTGTCCGGCTCCTGAGCGGGTGCAAAAGATCTTGAAGGAATCGGCGCGCTGTGTTGGGTCCCTCCTAACCACAGTCAGTCGCTCGGATCACCGCACCGCTACTACTACGCACCGAGAAAGAGGGCGATTTGCTCGTGAAATTCAGCCATCGGCGAACCACGCCGCGTCTGGCGATGCGAAGCAGGCTAAGAGCAGGCTCTGTTCTAGATTTAGGCAGTTGCCGGACTGAGGACTTGAGTCTTAGTATGCAATGAAGCGAGGGTACGTTTCGCACCCAATTATGCTCCTGGAAAAAAACTCGCGAAGAAACAATATTTGAGGGGCTTCAAGAATTGAGCCGTCACGCTGGAATACATATGGCGATAGTGCTGTCGAGCATTCAGGTGTTTGAGCTCTAGTAAGAATCCTTCACAAGACCTTTTGTATACTGACAAGCAGGAACGGAATGGGTTGAAGGTGGGGTGGCTGGCAGCGGGAGCAAGTGTCGTCATCGTGGCCGTCCGTCACTCATTTCGATTCGAATAATCGTGCTGGATGGAAGGTGGAATTCTTGTGAGATATAATTGCGAGTCGCGAATCGTTGCATGTAGCTTCACTCCGTGGCCTTCAAATTCACATCCGTGAATCACGGTGACAGCCGAAAAGGCGTAATACAGACACTTTTACAGGTACACAATTTAAACTATTCGATTTCTTATGTGCATTGTGTTGGGGAAGCCAAGCCTGAGTGACATGGTAAATAATCCTACCGCTGTGTGCATAACGCAACTCAAAACTACACCGCAACTTTCTTAGTATCCTTCTCATCAGAGTCAGTGACTAGCTCGGCGGTCCTAGAAGTTGTCATGGCGCCGAATACTGCAGCGGAGACGAACCAGAGAAAGAGCGAGGCCCAGTTCTGAGCCATGCTTGCACTGCCGTAATTCGGCTGGCCTGAATGCACCATCATCATCTGCATGTCCGCGAACCCATTCTGCACATTAAAAGAAGCAGCAACATGGCAGAAAAAGACAAGGCGTTTGAGGCCATCAGTGAGAAGCGGAAAAGAGAACCCCAATCACTCTGTTTCCAGCCCTCCCCTCCCCTCCCTCGCAGCATCTTCCACAAAAGGGAGTGGAAGGCAGGGCAAAGTTCAGCATTCACCAAGCACAGCAGCAGCAAGCATGCTTCAGGTGACTGCTGAAACACTCACCACGCACGTGCCGATGCCAGCATAGTAGGTGAACTTGCCGAGCAGGATGATGTGGTACGTGCCCATCTGGTACCGCGTGGCTTCAGCACCCACACAGTGCAGTGCGGCAGTGACAGAATGCTCAGTGGTACTACCTGCAGTGTCACACTCACCACGCACGTGCCGATGCCAGCATAGTAGGTGAACTTGCCGAGCAGGATGATGTGGTACGTGCCCATCTGGTACCGCGTGGCTTCAGCACCCACACAGTGCAGTGCGGCAGTGACAGAATGCTCAGTGGTACTACCTGCAGTGTCACACTCACCACGCACGTGCCGATGCCAGCATAGTAGGTGAACTTGCCGAGCAGGATGTGGTAGGTGCCCATCTGGTACCGCGTGGCTTCCGACAGGCGGCTTTTGAAGAGCACAAACGCACACAGCCCCCAAAAAAACTGCAGTGTAATGTAGGGAGAGGGCGAGGGAAAGGGGGAGGGCGAGGAAGAGGGAGAGGGCGGCAGGCAGCCATACGACATGGAGTTTTGAGAGCTTTGAGACGTCTCAACACTCGGTTCTGACAGGCAGCTATTGAACAGCACAGACGCACACAGGGCCCAGAAGAACTGCAGTGCGGAGAGAGGGGAGGGGAGAGGGCAGCAGGCATGTACACAGAATGGCACACAGCAGGGTGCTTTTCAGAATTCTTCACAACACCCTGCAAATCATCGAGCACGCGGCTCTTCAACAGCACGAACGCACACAGCCCCCAAAAGAACTGCAGTGCGGAGGGAGGGAGAGGGCAGCAGAGCACACAGCATGGGAGAAAAAACTGAACGAGGAAAGTCCATGCGTCTGAAAGGAGAAAGTGGAGATAAATAACCGTATTATTAGTGCCCGTGTCCCTCACGATGATCAGATGAGATACAAGCAGATCAGACCAGAACACACCATATCAAATCTGCTGAAAATCATGATGCCAGTGCATATAAAGCAGCAGGGGATGGCGAAGCATCGCATCCGGGACAAAAACATCCACTCACCTGGACAGCAAAGAGTGCGAGCGTGAGCACGCCACAGTAGGTATGCACAGAGTACATGTGCTTGTGCTCCGTCCCCTTGGCGACAATAATAGCCGCCATCGCCACTGCCGTCAGAATGAGTGCGATCGTCTGCCACGCCAGATGCACCCACTTGGCATACCCGGTCGCCCTGCAGTGACGGGGAGACGGACGAGAGAAACGGTACAGTCAGTCACACGGGTTGACTTTCAGTCGATTCAAAGGCCACGCCACCCACTTGGTGCACCCACTTGCTGCACCCGGCCGCCCTGCAGTGACCGCGACAGAGACGTTGCAATCGCGCACGGCTTAGTCACAGGTGCGGACAAGCTGAATGTGATCAGCATGCAAAAACACTCCTGTCTCGTGATGAAAACGCGAGGAAGGAAGGAAGGAAAGAGCAGCTTCCGAGCTTTTAGAATCAGCCCACCGAGTGGCAGCAGAAAGCGCGGGGGAAGGGACTGAGCCATGGGTACACGAAAGAAAAGCCCAGAGCAGCACGTTTTTTTAGGCGCCTCAAAAATCGTCATGGGGACACGAAAGCAAAGCCCCGGAGCAGCGCAGCAGCACGTGGAGGCGAGGATGGGCTGTACACCTGAGAGAGCCGGAGCAGAAGGTGAGGAGGGATTCGGTCATGGCGATGCGGAAGGCGCTGCCCATGAGAGCAGCACGTGCCAGACAAGAGCCAGGTAGGGCGAGTGCGAGGTGGGTACCGGCCAGCACGTGCCAGTTCCACCCGTTCGAGCACCATTTAGTCGACTCAAAAACCACCAACGCGACAACCATGAGCAGCACGTGCCACAGACGGAAGAAGTGGGTTACCAATGTACCTGAGAGAGGAGGAGCAGAAGGTGAGGAGGGACTCGGTCATGGCGATGCCGAAGGCGATGCCCATGAGTAGCACGTGCCAGTTCCAGCCGTTGTCGCAGTTGAAGCACGCGGACAGCCCGCCGTACACGGCGAGCGGCGCGGCGGTCTGGTCCTTGGAGAGGTAGGCGACGAAGGTGATGAGCAGCGCCAGGAAGACGAGCTCCAGGAGACGCGCGGTCCACGAGAACACGCGCACGGGTGCCGTGAGCGTGTGCGACCCCATGCTGGCGACGGCGGGCGACGGCGGGCGACGGCGGGTGACGGCGGGCGACGGCGGGCGACGGTGGGCGACGGTGGGCGACGAGCGACGGTGGCTCACGAAGAAACGCGCGCGGATCGAGGGCGGGGATAAACTGGCGAGGCTTGCAGGCGGGTGAAGGAGTGAGAGCTGGAACCCTGATCGCGACCACGACGAGAGTGAGAGGCTGACGTCTGGGCGTCGAGTGTCGCTTCAGTCCCTCACGACGTCCCTCACGACGCTGACAACTCGCGACTGTGTCTCGAGATTGGCGATAATGAACGTGGCTGACGGCCTTATTTCAACTTCCATGTCAACCATTCGGAATGAGGGGAGGGGAGTCTCGCTAGATTGGGGGAGGGGAGACATCCCCGGTGTGTCTTCCCCCACCATGATCGATCCCCGCCCTCTCTCTTACTCTCTCTCTCTCTCTCGCTCCGCTCTTGTTCTGTTCCTGTCTCTCCTCTCCCTCTCTCTCCTCTTCGTCCTTCGCTCGTCATCCTGGCATTCGTCACGCCACGTCACGACCCCCGTCGTGCTGTCGCCGCAACCCCTGTCGCGTCGCGTCGATCGCGTCAGGCGGAAGGAGGGATGCTGGGCGTAAGGCGGGCGCGAGGGTTGTGCTGATTGCTCAACCGCGCGCTTGATGGCGCTGCGGGGAGCCTCGGAATCGGATGTTACGAGCGACGATTCTACGGTGAGAAGTTCGTACGGCGTGTGGTCGAAAGATACTTCGGAAACTGTCCCCTCTGGGAAATCTCATTTTGTCTCGTCGTCGCCCGCACGCCGCTGAAATTCCCTCCGCTCCGCACCTTCCCCCTTCCGATCTCCACCCTCAGTCTTCACCTTCCCCCCACAACCCATGCACACAAAATCGTGGTCGTTGGATCTGTAGCTTTCCGCCAGGACGAGCGAAGATTGGCTGTTCCCCTCGTACCGCGCGCCGCAATTTAATCGTGTCAACGCATACATAAGAATCTACGCGGCTCGGGAAGGGACTTTGGCGCTGGGAGCTGGCGTGTGGCCAATCATTGCGCCGGTGCTGGTCGCGTGGCGACCTGTAAGTGGCTCATCTTTGGGCGGATAAATCTCTGGGAACCACAGTCAGCGTAGTTCGTACATAATGGTACGATATGTCTGGGTCTTGCCAATCAATCGTACATACTCGTAATCGCAAACTTATCCGCATCACGTTGAAGCTCGTTAGGGTACATATCCGCGTCATGATGTACATATCCGGTTCTGACGAAGCTTTGTAGCATACTTCAGGATGCTTCCCACACTGATCTTACCTCTTACCAATATTTGTTGGGCTTGTAGAAACCTTATTTGTGAAGCTTATAATGAGTCCCAGCTAAAACATGTTGGTTGTTCGACTAGCGTGCGAACAAATTGTTCAATGCAAGTAGTACAGACGACTGGCTTACGTACATATCACCGATCTACATGGATGGGTGTTCTTCATCAAGGCGAAAAAAAACAACCCTGGCCTGCAATTCCTCAAGTAATTTCACCGCTGTGAGCTCTGATGCAACTCAAAACTACATTGCGACATTATTCTCAGCATCCTTCTCTTCAGAGTCAGTGACGACCTCGGCGGTCCTGGAAGTTGTCATGACACAGAACTCAGCAGCCGATGTGAACCAGAGGAAGACGGCGGCCCAGCTCTGAGCCATGGTCGAACTGTCGTACGACGGCTGCCCTGAATCCACCATCACCATCTGCGTGTCCGCGAACCCGTTCTGTGCGTCACAAACAGGCCGACGAAAGGCAGCACAACATATGGTATTTGATAGCCTGGGTAAGGAGGGAAAAACATGTTCTAGCATTACGTTATCTGCTCAACTGTTCAAACATGTGTAGAGATGCGGATAGCACACACCTCACGTCTTCCCTCCCTCTCACCTGCCTTACCTCCCCCTACCTAACATCTACTGCACATAATCAAGGGACAAATGCAGGGGATGGAGTCTGCAATGGAACCTGGACAGTAGCAGCATGCTAACAGCAACTGTTGCAGCACTGACCACGCACGAACCAGGCAAGTAAGTGAACTCACCACGCACGTGACTTTTGAGTCAACTCAAAAGTCACTTGATGGAAACCGCTAATGCACTGACCATGCACGAACCAGCCAGGTAGGTGAACTCACCACGCATGTGCCAATGCCGGCGTAGTAAGCGAGCTTCCCAAGCAGGATGTGGTAGGTGCCTATCTGGTACCGCGTTGCTTCGGACAGGCGGCTCTTGAAGAGAACGAAAGCGCACAGGCCCCAGAAGAACTGCGGCGCAGGGAGAGGACAGCAGAGCACACAGCATGCCACACCATGGAACATAAAGCACAGTGAGGAGAACTCACGAGTTTGACTCTTGAGTTGACTCAAAAGTCAGCCAGGCGGCTCTTGAACGGCACAAACGCGCACAGGCCCCAAAAGAACTGCGGCGCAGGGATCAAATTGCTTCTGAGCGGTACGAACGCGCACAGGCACTGACCTGGATAACGAAGAGCGCGAGGGTGAGCACCCCACAGTAGGCATGCACAGAGTACATGTGCTTGCTGTCTGAATAGTTCTTGGCCACGATGATAGACGCCAGCCCCGCTGCCGCTAGGATCAGCGCGATCGCCTGCCACGCCAGGTGCACCCACTTGGTGTACCCGTTCGCCCTGCAGTGACGAGGAGACGACAGAAAGCGGTTGACTTTCAATCGAATTCAAGGCTCACGCCAGGTGCACCCACTTGGCGTACCCATCAGTGATGACGGGGAGACGACAGAAATTATATGTTTATTTCGTTATATATCAGTCACACATCGCGAAAAAGGAAAGCTGCGTTTTTTGGCCCTCGAAGGTTTTTCTGCGTCGGCCTTGCGAGAATGCTGCGAAAAGCTGCGTGAAAACAATGCACTCAAATCGCAACATTCCGCACTCCAAGAACGCGCGCGTGCATCATCTGCAAAATACTGACTACGCAGTAACAATACCGCAAAGCTATCGAAAACCCGAATCGCACACCTACACCCCGAGTCGCATTCGCCCTCTCGAATTTCTCGAACCAATGTCCGCGTTATGGTAAGTGCGGTTCGTCCATTCTGTCACTGTATAACATCTGAACGCAAACTAAGTTAACGCTTACACACAAATGCCAAACATGGTTTGAAAATTCCATTCAAACTTTACTCGCAACACAACCACTATTACATCAACCAGACAACCCCACCCCCGTTAACCAGTCGTACGGTACCGCACACACACAACTCCCACTACTAAGCCCCACAACAAACAACTGCATCACTCGTCGTCCTCATTCTCGCGCACCGCTGTGTCTGCCACGTCCTCAATGCGCAGCCCCGCGCGCGCACGCTTGACTGGTGTCCTGCCGAGGCGGGAAATCACCTCCTGGTTAGATGCTCCGACCTCTGCTGGCACGAGGGCCGGGGGAATGCCGAGCTGATCGGCACGCTCCACGTACGCGTTTGTGACGTTGCGAATCACGCGCCGCCTGCTGCGCTCGTCACGCAGTAAGGGGCCATCTGGCAGGCTCATCTCGCCCGACGAGTCATCCGACGCGCTGGCAGCAGGTGTGGCTCTGAACCCCTGCTCCACGCAGAGTCCCGCGTCGCAGTTGACGAACTCCGTTGCCGTCATATAGCACGCAGGCCTCATCTTGAACTTCTCGATGAGCAACTGCAGCTCGACGCATGTCGCAATGAGGGGCTCAAACATGCCCGTTGCGCACGTGTCGTTCAGGTACGCCATCAGTGGCGGCCAGCTTGGGGGCACGCATCCGGCGCGCCACCAGCTCCTCTGCATGGTTGCTGCGCGCACACGAGTCCACGATTCTCCCAGCCACTCGAGCATGAGGCCATAATCCACGTCAGCGATGGAAGCCGAATAGTCGAACTGGAACCGCTTCACCGCTATCGCACGCTTCATCAGCATAACGCGATAATGACCCTTCAGCGCATCCTCCGCTCCCTGCAGGTGCGGAAGGCCCCCTTCAGGAACCGACCCTCGTATGTTGACGATTCGGGTGTTGGTGAGGTGCTACACGCTGAAGCCGTGCTCCGTGACGGGTCGCGCGACCTCGCCGGTGATGCGATGCGCCTCGTGTATGGTTAGGATGAGGGTGTTGCGATCACGGCTGAAGTGCACGCCATTGACAGTCTCCACGAACTCCGTGAACACCTGTGTGCAGTAAACCCGACACCGATAGCACAACTCCATCATAATAGCGGTATGCACACATATGCTGCACACGTCAAACCGGCGTCAACCGGCCGCGGTGCGTATACTGGACGGCCACCTGGCGCGATGCCGCCCTCCCCCGCCTGCGCTCGGGCCTATCGTACGGTGATAGAACCACCAGAGGCACCATGGAACAACTCCCCGTCGCGTTGTACAGAATGCCGACGCTGACAATCCGCTCCGCCCCATTGCGCTTATCCGGAATGTATGTCTTCGGAAGCCGACTCGGAAGAAAATTAATCTCGTGGAAGCAAAACACGTCGTCCGGGTGCGCGGTAGCCAGCAGTCCCTTCAGGTCACCCATTGTAGCACTCTGTCACCCAGGTTGGCAAGTATGCATAGAAGGCCGGATGACCCCGTACTATATATGTTTCCCTCTACCGGAACGTACCCCCACGTTGCTCCTGTACGCACACTACGTACAGTGGTTGACATGCGCCACACAACCAACCTAACACTACCCCTGCGCCGCTCAAAGATAACGCACACATGTGAAACGCCCACCTGTTACTTTCAGATAGGCCATTTCGCACCCTCTACGCCACGTACGCGTCACCCATATCTGCCCAGCCAACGGCCCGTTCTCGGTCGTTCACACCACCACACATTGAATTGCGTCAACCTCGACCGCACAAACGTCAACAGTACCAGTACCCGTTATGGACCTGATGTCAGATTTATATGACATAGTTGCTGTAGGCTATAGCGGGGTAGCACATATGGGGTACAGGGTTTCTAGGGTTGTATTTGTACCCAATCTTTCCTTAGTCATTTCATTCCTGTTCACTTGTTTCACATGGTATCAGAGCGGGTCCTTCCTAAGGACCGTTTTTTTAGGGCCCACCGAAGCGCGCCCCGAGGCGCGCCCTTTTTTTTAGCGACCCCTCGGGTCGCCATTTCCCTCGCGGCCCCGCTGTCCCTCAGACGCGGCCCCGCCACCCCTCCTGATCGCGGCCCCGCCGCCTGCTTGACGCGGCCCCGCCGCCTCCACTGACGCGGCCCCGCCGCCGGCTCTGACGCGGCCCTGCCGCCCGCTTCGTCGCGGCCCCGCCGCCTACTTGACGCGGCCCCGCCGCCTCCACTGACGCGGCCCCGCCGCCGGCTCTGACGCGGCCCTGCCGGCCCGCCGCTGCACCTGACGGCCCCGCCGCTGCACCTGCCGGCCCGCCGCTGCACCCTACGGCCCGCCGCTGCACCCTACGGCCCGCCGCCTCACCTGACGGCCCCGCCGCTGCACCTGCCGGCCCGCCGCTGCACCTGCCGGCCCGCCGCTGCACCCTACGGCCCGCCGCTGCACCTGCCGGCCCGCCGCTGCACCCTACGGCCCGCCGCTGCACCCAGCGGCCCGCCACTTCACCTGACGGCCCAGCCGCTGCACCTGCCGGCCCGCCGCTGCACCCTACGGCCCGCCACTGCACCCAGCGGCCCGCCGCTTCACCTGACGGCCTCGCCGCTGCACCTGCCGGCCCGCCGCTGCACCCTTCGGCCCGCCGCTGCACCCTACGGCCCGCCGCTGCACCCTACGGCCCGCCGCCTCACCTGGTCGACCCGCCGCTGCACCTGCCGGCCCGCCGCTGCACCTGATGGCCCCGCCCCTACATCTCCCGGCCGAGCCGCCCCAGCAGCAGAGCCGCCCCAGCAGCCGAGCCGCCCCAGCCGCCGAGCCGCCCCAACAGCCGAGCCGCCCCAGCAGCCGAGCCGCCCCAGCAGCCGAGCTGCCCTAGCTGCAGTGCCGCCCGAGCCGCCCGAGCCGCCCAGCAGTCGAGCCGCCCGAGCCGCCCGAGCCGCCCGAGCCCTCCCTGCACTGCCCTGTCTGGTGAGCACTGCGCTTTACTCTGCGCAGTGCCCTCTCTCTACTGCTGTCATGGCTACCCCCAGTGTCCTCGCCTTTGACGCTGAGGGCAGAGCCATTGACTTTGACGTGTGGGTAGACGACCTACTGCTTTTCCTACAGTGCGACAGAGCTGACGGACTCTCTCTCTTTGATCTCACTTCTGGTGCCTCTCCCGCCCCTGCTGCTACTGAGGATGCCACTGTTCGCTCACAGTGAGCCACACGCGATGCTGCTGCACGTCTTGCTGTGTGTCGCCACCTCCCTCCCGCTGAGCGTGCGCACTTTGGGTCGTACAAGAGTGCTAAGACCTTGTACGACGCCGTTATCGCACGCTACTCCACCCCTGCCACTGCTGCACTGAGCCGCCTCATGCTACCGTACCTCTTTCCCGACCTTGCTGCTTTTGCCACAGTCGCCGACCTCATTACCCACCTGCGCACTAGTGACGCTCGCTTCCGCGCTGCACTTCCTGCTGAGTTCTGCGCCAAGAACCCCCCCCCCCCAGTACTTCACTCTCTACTACATTGTCACCCGCCTCCCTGACTCCCTTCGCGGAGTCAGGGACGACCTACTCGCAGTCTGCCCCACCACTCTCACTGTCGAGATCCTCGAGAAGTCCCTCCTCACAGCCGAGAAGAGCATTCTCGCTATAGGGGCCTCTCGTGGTGACCCACGCACCCCCATCTTTGAGAGGTGTTCCCCCTCCCCCCTCCTGCCCTCTGTCGCCTCTGCTGCTACGGCCGACCTTGTTGGTTTTGAGTCGGTCGGAGCGGCGTCTGCCCCCAGCAGGAGACGTCGCTCTGGCAAGAGCAAGGGGGGCAGGGGCGGTGGTGGAGGCGGCGGGGGCGGTGGAGGCGGAGGTAGAGGCAGCGGCGGAGGTGAGGGTGGTAGCGGGAGTAGTGGCGGGAGTGGAGGTGTCGGCGGAGGCAGTGGAGGCGGGGGCGGCAGCGGCGGTAGTAGTGGGGGTGGAGGCGGAGGCGGCGGTGGCGGCGGCGACGGTGGGAGTGGCGGTGGCGGTGGAGGTGGTGGCGGCGGCGGCGGAGGAGGCGGCGGAGGTCGTGGCGCGCCGAGGAGGAGTGGCTCCGGTGGTGGTCAGCGCCAGCAGCAGCAGCGTGGTCAGGAGACCCTCTCCCCGCAGCAGCTCCGTGAGTGGTACTCTGCGCGTCAGCGGGGTGGGGGTACTGGTCCGTGCACTTACGTCCTGCGCACTGGCGACCGTGCGGGTGAGTAGTGTGGTGGTCCACACTCCCCCCAGCGTTGCTTCGGCCGCCTGACTGACGCTTGGCGCCGCCAGTTTCCTGACGCCTCTGAGATCCCTCGCTGGGACCAGCTGTCTAGGGCTGGAGTAGCTATCTTTGATCTTGACTTTGATGCTATTCTTGCTGCTATGTATGCTGTGACTATAAGTGAGGAGGGTGACTGTTACCGGTGTTTCCCGCCCGACCCGGGCATTGGTACTGCGGCTCTAGGTGCTGTTGCGGCTGCTGCTCCAGGTGCTGGTGAGGCTGTTGCTCTAGGTGCCAGTGAGTCTGAGTCCTCAGGTGCTGGTGAGTCTGCTCTCTCAGGTACAGTGTCGACTTCACCCTCTCTCACTTTCACTCTTGACTACGGGGCGTCTCGCTCCTTCTTTCGAGACCGCACCACACTCACGCCGCTTAGTCGGCCAGTGGCGGTCTCCTTGGCAGACCCCTCTGGGGGTCCTGTTCTGGCTCGCTACTCCACTGTCCTGCCGTGCCCTGCGGTCCCGTCTGGCGCCCTGTCCGGTCTCTACCTCCCCTCGTTCTCTACGAACTTGGTGGCGGGTGCTGACCTACAGGATGCAGGGGTTGACCAGCTCACCCCTGCGCGCCGACGAGTCACCCACTGCACGGACGCGGACACGGGTCGACACCTGACCACATTCACACGTGGTCCAGGGTCGAGCCTGTACACACTCACTGTTCCGTCTCCTTCTCCTGCGTCTGTTCAGGTAGCTGCGTCGGGTCAGGTGTTTGCTGCAGCGTCCAGGTCTGGTCCTGAGTCTGCCCCCTGCTTGTGTCGCCTCCTGTCCCACGAGACCCTCCTGTGGCACCACAGGATGGGTCACCCCTCCCTACCTCGTCTCCGGGGCATGGCCTCTCGCCTTCTTGTCTCTGGCCTTCCCCGGTCCCTCCCTCCCCTTCCTCCGGGGCCTGGCCCTCCCTGTGTCCCCTGTGTCGAGGGTCGCCTGCGGGCTACCCCTCACTCCTCCCCGTTCCCTCCGACGGAGGCCCCGATGCAGACGCTTCACATGGACGTGTGGGGCCCAGCCCGCGTCCGTGGACAGGGTCACGAGCGTTACTTCCTGCTATTGGTTGACGACTACTCGCGTTACACCACAGTCTTCCCCTTGCGCAGCAAGGGTGAGGTCACTGAGGTGTTGATCGACTGGATCCGCGCAGCTCGTCTCCAGCTCAGGCGGAGCTTCGGCTCGGACTTTCCTGTTCTGCGTCTGCATTCGGACAGAGGCGGAGAGTTCTCCTCCGGCCTTCTGCGAGCCTACTGTCGGGCACGAGGCATCCGCGAGACCTTCACGCTTCCGGACTCTCCACAGCAGAATGGGATTGCTGAGCGCCGCATCGGCATTGTCATGGACGTCGCCCGTACGTCCATGGTGCATGCGGCTGCCCCCCATTTTCTGTGGCCGTTTGCGGTTCGGTACGCCGCGCATCAGATCAACCTTCAGCCCAGAGTCTCCCCACCGGAGACCTCCCCAGCTTTGCTGTGGACGGGGAAGGTTGGCGATGCGTCGGCGTTCCGTGTCTGGGGATCTCAGGCGTTTGTCCGCGACTTGTCTGCGGACAAGCTGTCCCCTCGTGCTGCTCCCTCTGTCTTCCTTGGC